ACCAGCACGTCTATCTCTCGCCAGCCCCTCTGTGTCTCTTTTTCCTCTTCCCCAGCCCCTTTGTATTTCCACCCCAGGCCCTTCTGTGTGTCGCTTTCATTCCCAACCCCTCTGTGGACTTTCTCAGCCCAGGCACTTCTGCGTGTCTTTCTCTTCCCTCATGTCCCTCTGTGTGTCTTATTCCCCACCCAGGCCTTCCCCTGTGCCACTCTCCTCTCCATGTCCATTAGTGTTTCTCTCTCCTCCCCTCCATGTCCATTAGTGTTCCTCTCCCCTCCCTTCCCTGTCCCTTAGTGTTTCTCTCCCCTCCCTTCCTTGTCCCTTAGTTACATAGTTACATAGCTGAAAAGAAACTTGCGTTCATCAAGTTCAGCCTTCCTGACATTTGTTTTTTGCTGTTGATCCAAAAGAAGGCAAAAAAACCAGTTTGAAGCACTTCAAATTTTGCAACAAGCTAGGAAAAAAATTCCTTCTTGACCCCAGAATGGCAGTCAGATTTATCCTTGGATCAAGCTGTTATTACCCTTCATTGAAAGATTAAATCCTTGAATATTCTGTTTTTGCAAGTATGCATCTAGTAGCTGTTTGAACATCTGTATGGACTCTGATAAAACCACTTCTTCAGGCAGAGAATTCCACATCATTATTGTTCTTACAGTATAAAAACCTTTCCTTTGGCTTAGACGAAATCTTCTTTCTTCCAGTCTAAACGCATGACCTCGTGTCCTATGTAAAGTCTGGTTTGTGAATAGATTTCCACACAGTGGTTTGTATTGGCCCCAAATATATTTGTATAATGTTATCATATCCCCTCTCAGGCGACGTTTTTCTAAAATAAATAGGTTTAAATTTGTTAACCTTTCTTCATAGCTGACCACGGTACAAGAGCTTCAGTTTCCTGTACTGGGTGGGACTGACAGGAAGAGCTCTTTCAATGAGCACTTCCTTTCAGTCCGCTCAGCCACGCTACACAGAGTGACTGGCAGGAGGTGCCCCCAGGGCCGGTGCGCATCTCCTCTGCCTATTCCGCTGCAACCCTTCTTCCAGGTAAGTATCGCCCCCTCTGCCTATTCCATTGCAACACTTCTCTCTGCTGACAGTGATATCTATTGCCTTTACAAAGGCACTTGCGGCTCTCAGGCCTAGCTCTCTTGAGTTATCCCAGGTCTAGAGGGATCATGCAGCCAGCCAATAGGTCTGAAGACTCTGTTATTGGGATCCCTAAAAATCCAAACAGGACATACAGTACCAAAAGGAACTAACATAACATTCTTTATTTTTACTCGGGGCTAGCCCATGAGCTCATTACATAAGGATTACTTTGACAACTCAATAAAAATACAACAATCAAATCACTTTAAACATAGAGGAACTTATAATAACACATATGACATATTGATAATGGGGTGGGGAAGACAATAATTAACACAAAACATTTCTACTGCATGCAGAAACAGGAAAGTACACAAAACCATTAGCAATACACAAATACACATACACACACTGCACCTCTAATGGGCACATGGTGACTTAGACATAGGAGTAGTCCAGGATCCTATATAAAGTGTTCACCTGAAACTCCTGGTGAGGGTGACTACCGTCACACATAGGATAAGGAGTGTATTACAGTCTACATAAATAACAGGGCAAAAAGAGAAAGAGAAAAATACATAGCATAATACTGTATTGTAGATTATTGCACAATTAAGTATACAGAACCACTCACATGTACTATAGCTGTTCAAGCTTTAAATAATATACTCTAAGGTGCCCCCTTCATAGCTATTGGATAGAAGTGGAGTCTCCAACACACCAGCCAATAAATCCGTAAATCTATTTTTAAAAAAATAATTAAAAAAAGAAAAAGGAAGGCCAAAAAGCCAAAAATTCATACCAAATGGTGAAATAAAGTGAATACTTATCACCAATAATAAGCTTTTCAAAACTATGATATGACATTTCCAGTCCCAATAACAGTATTGATTGGGTCCATTTGATGTCTGTCTCTTCCTCCACGTGTTCAGTCTTATTCAGCGTCATGTGACCACCAGGGTCAAAGGATGCACCTTTTTTTTTTTTTTGTGCAAAAAAAGAAATACAGTCAAATTTGCGATGCCACAATCGTTTTAGCAAGCGCGATAAGACCTATAGTTAGAGATATGGCATTGGAAACTTTGCAAAATTTTGTGTTAGAACATAAACAAACATGACTGCTGACTCCTTTAATCACCAAATCCCTTTACCCTTCCATTCCCAATAAGTAACACAACACCATGTTAAGTGGGTAAGGGCAACGGCCACAGCTTTATTTAACCCAGCACAACCAAATACTGTCAGCGGCTGGTTTTACCCAGCAGACAGGTACACGTTAAACTTCTTCCAGAGCCTCTTCAGCCTGTCCTTCGTCATCAACCAAATTCAGGCTGCGACTCCCCAAGCCCGTCCGGGCATTATTCATTTACCAAACTTGCTGGTGCAGGAAACCCGCAGCTGTGACAAAATTAAAAACAAAGAAAACACAACACAAAGCAACAATTCCAGAATAGAACCATTGGGGAGGGTGGGTGGGGAAAGACACTGCCAAGCTCCCTCAGCCTTGCTCACAATTAGTCAGGTAAATTCCCTAGAATTCCCTGCTTCCAACTGTAAACCAACTGTATCCATTTGGTTGCTATGCCAATTCAGGGCAGCAGTCATGCTCCCCTCTCCCTATTCGCTCCCGGGGTTGGCCTATCTTGCTGCTGTATAAGTATAGAAGACTGTAACCATTCAATGTACTGATATATCAGCGCTAGATCATAAATCTCAAACTGGTGTATCAAGAAAGTGTTCACACAGATTTCGACAGGGAAAATAAAAAAAAAAGAAAACCAGGAAAGCAGCATTGCTAAGTCTAAAAGCATACATCCACCTAATTTCTTATAAGTAACCGGGCAAAGATAACAGTGTAAAAGCGATGGAATCACATCGACTACCCTCTAGCACCTGTACCTTCTAGGTAAGTCTGAATCACGTAATCTCAACAACATCTTGTCACATGTCCCAGCGATGCACTCATCAAACAGGAAATGACCCAAATACCACATTGGAAAATGGAAAAACCATAGAAGTTTATATAACAATGTAAGAAATCTTTCTCCTTAAACAGTAAACACTTTAAAGGCATTAATAGGTTTGGGTAAACTCAAAGTATTATCCAATAGGAAAATAGGAGTAGGAATGAAGAGGGCTACTGGATTAACCAAAAATACTAAAACTAAAGAAATTAAAATAAAAAAGAAAACAATTTGGAACCTATCAAATTTTTGAGACAATAGTTATATCTATGAAGCTGTTAACATCAACTTCAAGAAAGTTTTAGTTTTAATCTTCTCTTCAACAATATAAATTTCCAAACCTAAAAATTGAACTTTAATATTATCATAATATGTTTTTAACGAATTCCCCGATTATTACTACTCAGATGTTTCAAAAATAACTCAAGAGTCTCCACACCACCATCCCAACTAAATAATAAATTATCAATGTACCTGCGATAGGGGACCAAGCCTGCTGCCCCCCTATATTATTATTATTATTATTATTATTATTATTATATAACCTCCTCTTCCCAATAGGTCATCAAGAGGTTTGCATAACTGGGAGTGAATTGGATGGGGAGCGTCCCCATCATAGAACTGGAAAGCTGGATGAAAAAAAAAACATGTTTAAACCAAAAATAATTATGAAAAATAAATTATTAATAAAAATATTATTATTATAAAATGAATTTAAAGAGGATTGATGCATGACTAATAAAAAGTACTCAACAGTTTTCAAACCTAAATAATGTTGGATGATAGTTACTGGCAAATAACCATCTTTTAAAAAAGAAAAAACAATTATTCTTTTAAAAAAAATTAGACCTTTCAACATTGAGATTTAAATCTTCTGGTGCAAGGGTATTTTAAAAAATCCATCTTGTCTCACACTTTCCCAGTTCACTTGAATATATATTGCATCCTTTAGAACAGGGGTCGTCAAACTCCGGCCCCCCAGATGTTGCTGAACTACAACTCCCATGATTCTCTGGCTATGCAATTCAAAGAATCATGGGAGTTGTAGCTCAGCAACATCTGGGGGGCCGGAGTTTGAGGACCCATTCTCTAGAATATGGAGATTTTTAAAATCTAAAACCATTGAAAAGAAACATCTTTCCTTAAATTCGATAGAACTGATAGCAATTCTGGTAAATTTGTAAAAGATTATAATTTGAATTAACCTTGGATAAGGAGTTTTTAACTTCCTCACAAGTTGCAGGGGTTTTAATTTTTCTTGAATCTCGTTGATCTCCTTGTCGAGGTTAATGAGGTTTCTCTTTCTCTATTGATGATGATACTCATCATCCTCATAGAAAAAGATTCCAATGCGAAATCCAAATATCCATATACTCCATATTATCACTGTCAAACGTGGGAGTTTTAGAAAACCTTAACCCTCCAGAAGTTCATATTTTTTCTAATTATTTTTCTGACATCTAAAACATCTACCCTTTTATTTTCATTTCTTTAGGTAATAATTCCCAGATTTTACTATTAACATGACGTAAAGTCATGATTTTATTAATGACACGGAGGCTCCTATTATGCATTCTCTTTCTTTATTATACTCCCAGCAGCAAGAAAAGGAAGTATGAGAGAATCATATAAAAAACATAACAACAGCCTGGTAACAGTGGCACCAATCAGCATCCAGTATTATCCATATGGGTGTGGTGCTCCTTGACTCCTCCTCTTTCTTGCTGCTCCCTCAGACAAGTTAAGTACCTCTTCTCTTGCTACTCCTGTGATTTTATTATTATTATTATTATGTGTATTTTGGGTAAAAGATTTTAGCATAGTGTATGTTTATGCTTATTTTATGCTCACTGTTATTACTGGTTATTTAATACTGGTGTCTGGGAGTGCTGCCTATTAAATAGGGGTCTCTGGGACCCTGGGGTTTTCCCCCTCTCAGTAGTGTTAGACTCTTTCCCCTGCTCGTTTCTGTTTTTGTGTGGGTTCAGCAGGGCTGCCCTTAGCTGCTCTCCTTAGCTGCTCACTGTTTTGGTCGCAGTCTATTCCGCGGTTTTCTTCCGGTCCGCGCATGCGCAAACGCTCTTTTGCCGGTTTTCCCCTTTCCTGACGGCTGCGCATGCGCAGTACGTGCCGCGGCGGCCATCTTTTTGGTTTATGTCGCCGCCTATGTAAATTTTCTCGCGGCGGCCATTTTAAGTATGTTTTCGGCGGGAAATTGCTGCGGACCGATTCTGTAGGTGGATAACGGTTTCTCCTACCCTCCTGGCGCACTCCCAGACCCATCCTGTGCTTATTTACTGTGTTGCTGTCTTTGCTGGTCAAACTGTAAGTGTTGGTGTGGAGGATTACTCTATCCTGACACCCTTTTTGTCCTTAGTCTTAGCTAGTATATTTTTCTCCCTACAGGTCATTTCAGATACTGTTCTTAACCATTAGCTACTACTAGTGGCATTACCTTATTGGGTCCTATAATTCTAACTCTGAGTGGACTTGGGTGTATTATCCCCTGTGAGTTTATATTATTGCTAAAATGCAAGATCAGAATGAGAGACCTGCAGGGTCTGTGTGTCCTACACCGGGGGTTTCCCCCTCAGACAGGGCATGTAAGGATGACACCAGCCTCATGGCATCGGAGGAATTTCAATCCCTCCTCGATTCTACCATGGCACAATCCATCAACAAGGCGTTAGCCTCCGCGATGGGGGTCATGTCATCCTCTATCACACAATCTGTAACCAAAGCGCTGATACAGTCTCAGAGTTGTGGCCCTCAGAGCACACTAAATCCGGGAACCACTAATGTGGTACAACCGGGACGCAAAGCCTTGACGAAAAGCAAACATATTGCCTCCCCTCCAGAACTGCAGGTTCAGCCTGCAATGACTGGCACGCCTCAGGCTGTCAAGGATGGCGCGATACCACCGTGCAATAGAGCCCCTGGCCGGGCAAAATCGGCCAGATCCTGGAAGCGGGCACGTGCCCAAGAGGACTCGTCCGATTCGGACCGGAGTTTGGAGGAGGAGTATGATGATTTATGCATGGACCATTATAGTGCGGAATATTCCGATTCAGGGTCCGAGGTGAAATTTCACACTGCGACCCAGAAGGCTACGGCTCAGGGCGCTGAGCCTGCCGTATCGGGCGAGGGCGACGATTTGCGGGACCCTCTGGGTAACCCGTTGTTTGACCCAGATAACCTCCGTCACCCTCGCTCGGCGGAATGGGAGCCGCCTGAGCACATTGCGAGGTACCTCGCACTAAGAGTAAGAAAACCTTTATCTAAGGAAGGACGTAACAAGCTACGGGCGGAATGCCCACGGCCTATCCTTCCAGACTCAGTGGGAAAAACCCCTGACGTGGATCCCCAATTGGTCCAATTTTTTAATAAGTCGGGTTGGAAACCGAGGAAAGGTTTGGATTTCTCCCTTCGGAACTGCCAGGACAAGTTCCTGGAGACTCTGGGGCCCATCGCCAAACTTTATGAGTTAGTGGAATCTGCCCAATCTGGTGAGAATGACTTCGATTTCGAAGTAGCGAAAGGCTGGTTGCAGAGGTTAGTCTGCATGGTGGGTAACGCCAATACAGCCATGGTAACCGAACGCCGCAAGGCGATTCTCATGAGAATAGAGCCCAAACTGGTCAGTATGGCGACCAATGAGCCGGGGCCGGCCGCTAAAGGCTTACTCTTTGGTGAATCCTTTATTAAGGATCTTGGGCTGTATGTTAAAACATTTACAGCAATTGTCAAAGCTCAGACTTCTCTAAAAAGAGTATTTGCACCTCGGGTTTTTGGAGGGGCCGGTAGAGGTAGGAGCCGTCTATCCGGCCGTGGATTTCGTGGCTCATTTAGAGCCGGCAGAGGCTCCTTTAATACCCAGAGACCGGTACCAGAACGAACTTATACCCCGTTCTTACCATCTCGTGGACGCCTCTGGAACTCCCGCGGACCGCGGTGGTCTGTCTCAGGCAGACGACCTTATGGTGAGTACCGAGTATCTCCATTTTTCCCATATAAAAGTGGGGGGCAGATTGGCACTGTTTCACCATGCTTGGAAACTTCTAACCTCAGATGTTTGGGTATTAAATACAGTACAGGGGTACCTGATGGAGCTAGTCTCTTACCCTACTCAGGTGCAGTTCCCTCGAGAACTAAACATGGCCAACGACCACCAGAAGATGATCTCGGCAGAGATTGCAGATTTGGCGTCAAAACACGCTATTCAACAAATCCCATGGGACACAGAAGGGTTTGTAAGCAACCTGTTTCTGGTTCCAAAGAAAGGGGGTGGAGTACGCCCAGTAATAAATCTCCGACCCCTAAATGCGTTTGTCCAATATCACCATTTCAAAATGGAGAGTATTCATTGCCTTCGAGACATCCTACTACCATCAGATTGGATGGTCAAGATAGATTTACGGGATGCTTATCTGACAATCCCTGTCGCGGAAGCGCACCAAAACCTACTGCAGTTTCAGTGGCAAGGAACGAAGTGGAGGTTTGTATGTCTACCGTTTGGTCTGTCCTCTGCTCCATGGTGCTTCACAAAGGTACTAAAGCCGGTGATTGCCTTCCTGCGCACACGAGGGGTCAGGTTAATAATTTACCTGGACGATATCCTTCTCCTGTCTCAATCTCAATCCCAATTACGGGTTCATTTGTCTTGGACAACACACCTTCTCCAGAATTTAGGATTCTTGGTGAATTGGGAGAAATCTGTCCTTCAACCCTCCAGATGCATGGAATTTCTGGGCTTTCAAGTGGACTCTGTACAACAGAGGTTGTGCCTACCCAAAGACAAAATGATTTCGATCAAGAAAGAGATCAGACGACTTATGATTCGTACGACCATTTCCCTCAGACAACTTGCGAGGATCATAGGGCTACTGGCATCGTCCATACAAGCAATCTTCCCGGGCCCGTTACATTATCGTGCCCTACAAAGGCTCAAGGCCTCATATCTGCGCTCCGGACACTCGTACGAAACCTGTGTTACACTGGACGAAGATTCCAGAGAGGAGTTGACATGGTGGCTAGCCCACATGGAGGCGTGGAACGGACGGGCGATATTCGGGTCTACGCCAGATCTGGTCATAGAGTCAGACGCCAGCTTACACGGCTGGGGCGCGCATTGTGGTTCAGTTTCCACCGGTGGCAGATGGTCCAACGAAGAAACGTTGCTACACATCAACTGCCTAGAGCTGTTAGCGGCATCCTTTGCCATTCGCAGCATGACCCCCACAGGCATCTCATGCTCTATCCTAATCAAGATGGACAACGTCTCGGCGGTGCGTTATATCAACCACCTAGGTGGAACGAAATCGAAAGTTCTGGCACTGATGGCTCGAGATTTTTGGCACTTTTGTCTAAAACACAACATTTCGGTAATAGCGGAATATATCCCAGGACGGGACAATGCACTAGCGGATTGGAATTCTCGATATCTTCGAGACGCAGGGGATTGGCATCTCCACCCAATGATCTTCCAACGTCTCTCTCGACTTTGGGGACCTCTCAACATAGATCTCTTCGCGTCTCGGCTGAACACCCAACTTCCTCGGTTCTTCAGTTGGAGACCGGACCCAGATGCGCTGGTGACAGACGCATTCTTACAAGACTGGTCCAAGGGCAAGAATTACGCTTTTCCACCGTTCAGCCTAATCTCTCGGACCCTTGCATACCTTCGATATTCCAAAGGGACTCTAGTGCTGATAACCCCGATATGGAGGTCACAACCTTGGTTCCCACAGTTATTAGAAATGTCGATAGATTCCCCACGACTGTTGCCGGACATACCCTACCTCCTGACCAATCCAGAGGGAATGAGTCACGAGTTGATCGACCAGGGTCTACTTCGCCTGATGGCATGGTTCCTTTCAGGGGAACATGGAATCTCGAGGATGTTTCGCAGACAACACTCGGTCTCTTGGCAGAGTCTTGGGCACCAGGTACCAGATGTTCCTATGGGTCGGCTTGGAGGAAGTGGACTGATTGGTGCGTGGGACAATCAGTAGATCCCATATCAGCTCCTGTGAAAATAATCTTACGATTCCTGACTCTACTCTTTGAAGAAGGTAAAGCCTTTCGGACTATAAATCTATACAGGTCAGCGATATCAGCGAGACATATGGGATTGGATGGTACTCCAATAGGTAAACATGCCCTCATCTGTCGTTTGCTCAAAGGCATCCGGTTTGCTCGACCCCCGCAGGCTCGGTATTCTTCCTTCTGGGATGTCAATGTGATTTTTCGTTTTCTCGAGTCTTGGCCTTTGAATCACGAACTTTCTCTTAAACAATTATCAACCAAACTGTTGATGCTGTTTTGTTTACTTTCATGTAAACGGGTTGCTGATGTCAGAGCATTGGATTGGCAAGCACGCGCTTTTGTTCCAAACGGAGTTTCCTTCAATATTTCACGAAGGACAAAGTCTGCAACTAAGGAGGTTTTCTACCTGTCGTTTCCAGACAACCCGAATCTGTGCCCAGTGTTATGCCTTAAGGAATACGAGCGCCGCACGAGCTCGCTCCGTCCTGATCAAACCCATCCATTATTCATCTCGTTCAGAGTACCGCACCTACCAGTATCTACTCCTACTTTAGCTCGTTGGATCAAATGGTTATTATCCGTGGCAGGCATAGACACTTCAATTTTCTCCTCACACTCCATTCGCGGGGCCATGGCTTCTAAAGCTTCCATGATAGGTTGTAGATTGGAAGACATCTTATGAGCAGCTGATTGGTCGAATGAGTCTACGTTTCGTAATTTCTACTTTCGACCGGTACAACATATTTCCAGTTTGGTGGTTGCCCAGCTTTAAAATAGCATAATAGGAGCCTCCGTGTCTTTAATAAAATTCCCAGATTTTACTATTAACATGACGTAAAGTCATGATTTTATTAATGACACGGAGGCGAGTATTATTCCCACCCGCCCTACCCAGGGTGGTGTTTAAGTTACAGGTCAGTCATGGGACCTTTGGAATGACAAAATACGGTAGGTAAAGTGTCATACACGACACGAAGGTGAGTAAGGTTTGTGATGAATATACTTCTATATCTTATAGTGTTGGAATAACGTAGTGGAAGAGTTGGATAACTATGGAATAGCAGTCGCAAGTCTCGATATTACCATATATTTCTTCTTTTTTAGCTTGAATACACCTGTGAAAGTTGGCGGTTGAAGCTGTTTCCTGTTGAATTTCCGGTTATGGTTTTGTTTCGGGAATTCGTGTTTGTTGGAATATTTTGGAACTTACACTATGGTCCTTGGGATCTACGCAGAAA